CAAATGTAATCCTGCATTGGAATGTTTGGCCAATTACTTTGCAATACGTGTTTCTGATTATGGGAACAAACAAATAAAACCCTTTGTACCAAGGCCATGACCCAGCGTTAGGAGGGAAGAACACTCAACAGATCTGCACACACAGATTAACGAACCTACTTTCTGAACTTATCACCGTGTTAGTTGGTAAGCTTCACGAATTTACTGCGTGTTCCACCAACCCTTGGCCTCCAAAGCGCCGAATTTAGCAGGTGCGTGCCACTATTTTCATTGCATTTTGGTTTCTGCCTCTGTCCTTTTTTAATAATAATTACAAAAAGCCCTCTTTACTTACTTACCAATTAAATCTGCACCGGAGTCCAAAGACTTTCTTTTCCCATGATAGTGCTGCATTGGAATGCTGAGCAAATACCATTCACGAGGTGTTGGTATATGGGAGCACACCGCATCAGTTGAGAAAACCCACATTACGTACCTAAAACGCAGTAAATAACATTAAACAAAAGAGACGTTCAAATCATCAGCCATGGTTAATCCACTGCTGGATGAAGGCCACCCCCTCCCACCCCCCCAAGCTGCCACCCTCTATTGCGATCCTGCGATGTAATACAACTAGTACCTGCTCCGCTACCTGATCGATATTTTTATGCCAGCTAGGTTTGTTTTTTTCCTGCCAATTAGCTTTGCGCTCTCTTGGGTTATGTTGTCGTGCAAACGGCACCTCAACAGTCCCGAGGTTGCTTCCAGTGTTTGAAATTGTCAAGGGCAGCTCCATCTCCGCATCCACGTCTTAAAGACTATTGTTTTTTTTTAAAAGACATGCAGATTGATTCAGGAAACCCATTACTGTATAGTCGTCCGCTGGCCACCTTGCAACACAAGTCGTCAACACCGGAGTATTCTCAGGCAGCATCTCCCATCCAAGACCTATTCCAGGCTCCAGCCTGCTGACATTCTGCAGTCTGACAAGCTCCTGGTGCATTCAAGGTGATCTGGTCATGAGCGCAGAATAATTCTGGCGTACACCAACGCTCTTGCAATATGCAGCGGCGAGATAGAACTAATGTAACGTGTACCCTCCATTGTTATACTGTACATCCTCCCTTCCCATCAATGTCACATCCCTTTAACTATTCTACAGCACGCGAGAGCGATGCGATTGTATTTCCAGGTAATTTATTGCAAATCAAAAAGTGGTTTCTGCACGCAAAGATTCCCGGGCACACAGACTGTCGGTGGGAAAGTTGCTCGTTGGCGAGCACCTCTTGTGGCCGGGGAGCGCACGAGGGCTTGATGTGGCCAGGGCATCAAGGCTGATGATGAATAATGCTTCATATTAAGACGTTTTCAAGTAATGGAGTGTCTATACATTGTGTGTAAATGTTCACTTCGGCCAATGGAAACATAAACCAAGCTTCCCAACATTGGTGAGGTTGTGCACTTTGCCGTGACGGTGCTACATCACCAGCAAACGGGAATATAGGTCAAGTTCATGGCAGCTGTCTCCAGAACACACCAACCACACTCCCTCCACCACGACTGCAATGCCGATCCGAACCACTCTGTGCAAGGCAGGCCTGCACACAGCCCAAAAGAAAACAAGACAAAGATCCTGTTGGGGCAAGTGCTGTTAGCAAGCAGCTATGAAGGACGTAACAGCACACGAGGGGGTGGGTAGCCAGCACCACGCGCGGCCGCCTTTGTCTCCCCAATGGCCATATTTACACATTGCACCAAGTACTCATTTGAGGCTGAGTCGACCTAGGGGATGCCCAGGACCAGCTCACATAATTGTCGCTGGTGTTTGCCGTGAGCAGGAATTGAACCCGGGGTCGTCAGTTTAGTAAGCGCAGCGTGCTAACCGCGGCACCACCACTCCCCACACAGTAAACCACACACACCTTGCAGATATTCCAAAAGCTGACAACAAATTCATGACATTCTACCAATGATGATGATTTTATGATAAACATGCCGAGTTTTCTGGTTATCTGTGCTCAGGAACCAGCGGTGACAATACCAGAGGTTGAGAACCAGTCCTATCATATCGTCATCCAGTAGCAGACAAGCATTGCAAGTTTTGAACGTACAGCTGGTCCTAAACGCAGAATCCTTTTTTCTAAAACTGGCTAGATCGCAACCCTATCCCCGAAACCAGCTACCATATATCTCTCTCTCCCGCTCACCCTCACCCACCAATCAAAATGCCATTCACAACTGGCATGGGTGTCCAATTATAATTTGTCATTCGGTTTGCCCCATCGCCTGGGTCCCCGGGGGTCACAGACTTTTATAATCTACTAGGCAGGGCCGTTCCAATTCCAGCAGACAACTGTGGGCAAGGATTGATAATTCCATCAGCAATTAAGGTCGACGGAAAAGTTGGGAGCCTCCAAAAACGAAGTTATCAAACTTTAAAAGTTAATGATTATCTGCATTCAAAATGATAGGTCTGACAGTATTAGGCCTTAAGCTTTTGGAGATTCCAGTACTATACTTGTGGTACTGTGTTCATACATCTAAAACACACAACCTAATTTTAAGCAGATACATGGCATTTATGAGAAAACCGACTTGGAATACAAGTCTGTTTCAAAGAAGGCCTCTGTTTAGATTTAGTGAGCCCGAGCATCAACAGTAATATATTTGACACAGGCCAATATTATTTTTAATGGCGTAATGATTGAAAACTGTTGCAAAACAAATGGCTCAATAAAGTTTAACATGGAATGATAACAACCTTAAACAGTATTGTACCCATTTTGAAAAGAAAAATCTTAACATCAAGAGATTTTTATAAAAGTTTTTCATTGAGGTCTAATTAAATTAATGCAAGGTAGAAAAGAAATCCATGGGTTACTGGAGAAAACCCACCCATGCATAGGTAGGCAGGAATAACACCTAGTAAAACCCACCCACGCATATGATTGAATAAGACACCAGGAGAAAACCAACCCACCCATGCTTATGATGGAAGAACACCCCTTTAAAAACCCACCCATTCATGCATAGGCAGAAGGGAATAACATCATGCGAACCCCCCCCCCCCCCATGCATAGGAGGGAATACACCAAAAGCTCAGAGCTGCGTACTTACGGATTCAACATTCCATTGCTGTACTGTTATATACTGGTCACTTCCCTGCCCCACACTTGGTATTACCAAGCTGTCTCCCAAGTTACGAACGAGACTCAACTCTTCTTAGCTTCCAAAACCAAAAGGGGATCGGCATAAGCTTTCAAGTGCACTTTCGCAGTCGGCATCAAGGGTGCTGTTTTAACATGTGAACAATGCCACACAATTCTCGGTTACTCCACAAAAAGCCAACCTCGGCCACACGTTCAGCGCCACGGGGCCCGTACCGGAAAGCCATCGTGATACAGGCCAGAGTCCTGGATGTTCCCGTTGTGCCCTGCCTGGGGCCTGTAGCATCCCAGCTCTCCATCCGCCATCACCGACATGGCCAGCGGAGACAACGCGACCACCGCCACAGAAGCCAGGGCTGACGACGTTGAAGAAGGTGAAGATGATGATGACGCCGATGACGACGGAGGCTGCTGGGTTGGTGGCACGTTTGTGGAAAGAGTTCTGGGCGTGCAAGCCATGCACGTTGGGGAGGTCCTACGCTGCCGGTGCTGCTGGTGGTGCTGCTGCTGCTGTTGGTGGAGGTGGTGGTTGTTGTTGTGGTGGTGGTGTCGAGCTCGGCGAACACATGCACCGGCCCAACAGCAGCAGAAGCCGGCCATAAGGCCCCGTGCGCGGTATAGATGGGCCATATCTTCCCGTCGCATGTCCAGATCGAGCCACACCGAGCCTACCACCACCACCTCCACCCGCCACCACCATCCACACCCTGCAACCACAACCCACGAGCTGCAACTTGCACTCACAGCCAACTACAGCGCAGGTATTCACAACCACCATGCAATCTTAATTTCACTCCCCACCACCTGAACCCAAACATAACTCGCTCTTCTGAAAAGAAAAATCACAAACGTGAATTCAGTCGCCATGCAACTAGCACCACAAAACCACAACCGAGACTCACAACCCCCACATCTTACACATTCACGATCACTTGCCACCCTTAACGATTCTTACACCCACAACAACTGACGCTCAAAGCCCACGACAGACAGAGCAACCACCACTTAAAAACCACCACTCACCAATACCCGCGCCATTCGCCACTAGTGACATCTCTAAGACGCCTGTGCCAGGCCAGGTGCACTTTGAGGCCACGTGAAGTGTCGAAGGGTCTCGCTTCACCTCATCACAACCATCCGGACCCACAATCAGTAACTTGGGCCTCACAACATATTCCAGTCCACAACTCAACACATCACCAATTGCACCCACAACCAAACCTTGCACACACACACACGAGACAAAACACGCAGTGACAACCACCATTCAACAGACAGCCTCCACCACAACGTGCACTCCCACGAGTCCCAGCACCACGAAACCAGACCTCAAAAGTCACACGAACACCACCATCAAAAAAATCAACAATCACCTTCCCCAATCATAACTACTGAGCGTGCAACCTCAAATGGACACCACCACCACCCATTGCAACTTGCAACACAACCATGGGTTGCACTGAAAAGCCAAAGCCTCAACTTACATTCATCAGCGTTTAACCTTCAACTAACGTCGCTCACACACACACTGGACTGAAACCGAATTAGCATTCACAACCGCCACCCACCCTTTAACACCACCGACGACCACTTCCTTAGCCACCACAACCACGCATTGCACAGACAACCAAACCCGCGTTCGCAAACGCAGCCCCTCTGAACCCTAGACCAATAACAACTAAACCATAACCCGCTACCACCAACTTCCCCCACACCCACCACCACCGCACCTAAACCTCGCCTCAACTATCCACTCACCTCCACAATTAACCACGACCACCGCTAACCTCTTACGACGACACCCAGACCCTCCAACCACCAACTCGCCGCCACCACCACCACCACCAAACTCACCTCCACGACAGCACCCACTTTCTTCACGGGGTAAACCACCCCGACAGCCAGACAGCTCGCCGTGGTGCCTCGTGCAGCGAGGATTACCATCGGGGAGAATCCGCGGCGGATTAAAACAACAAAAATGTTGTGTAAGGCCCAGCAAAGCAAAGCGGGGGGGCGCACACACACACAGAGAGATATAGACTGCGTACGACGATACAACGGCGGAGAAGCGACGCCCCTTTAAAATAATATATTTATTATTAATGCGAATCGATTGTTGCTGCGTAGGCTGGGTTTAAAAGCCAAGGTGAACTTAGCGTTGGATGTTCTCGTAACTGCTACGAACCCGACAATGCAATTCCCAATGCGCCCATTTTGCCTCTTCATCCTCCTCCCCACACACGTGGCGCAGGGGTTTGTGTGTTTAAAAAAAAATGCTTTATATAAAACCACAACAGCCGAGACACATTTCTCGTTCAACCTGTCATTTTTTTTTACAGCAGCTGGGTAAAAAAAAGGACGACTTGCAATGGCGGTAAGGACACTCGCTTACGGGTTATGTTGAACTGGCAAAGGAAGAAAGAAACCACGTGTATGGGAGACACACGCAGACACCACCACCACCAGCCCACTGGCGTGGCAGAGGCAATTCCCCCCCCCTCCCACATCTCACCAGCCAGTAAACAAAGTGAAAAATAAACAGGCGGACTCTACCACTCAGCACCACAGTCTGGGGGGGGTAAGGGTGTGTGCGGGTTTATTACAAAAAAAATCAGACGCGTGTGTGGAGGGGGAGGGTTACACAACATGGTACGGGCCGCCTCCTCCCATTGCATCTCCACCGTCACCCACACGTCAGCTCTCTGCAGCCCAATGCAGTCTATAGAATGGTCCAGATGTCTTGTGACCACCCCCCCCCCCCCCCCAATAGATTGACACGCTATGTTTTTTTTCTCCTTTGTACATTAATTTCTATTTTAAATCAACCTTACTTTTTACCAAAAATATTACGTTTTAGAAAATGTATCATCTGGACCACCGTGTAGTGTAGACATGACCGTGATAGATTTTGTTTGTAGCCTGAATATCAACTGCTGTCCACACTGTGTGTCATTTCATCGTATGTAATGCCAGTGGTTGACGCACTAACCACCTCCGATTAGTACGGTTGGCTACGTACGGTGCGAAAGTAGTTCAACATGCATACTAAGTTATGAACCAGTGCACGGCATACATCAGTGGCCAGGGATAATACGAGAACCAGTTCTGCCTCCCCATCCCAACCCTTTAACCAACCCGCACTGACTGGCGTAGTGAAGTATGGTCAAACAGCCCCCCCATGACTTAATAAAAAAAACTGCACATCAATATTATACAATTGCGTTATTAGCACACGTATCTGCAGTTGTACACGTGTGGTGTGTGTGTGTGTCCTAACAAGGTTGCCAGAATCGATGACGCATTAACAACTGGATTAGTATCGTTTCCCGATTCGCATTGCCCTGATAGCCACTAGGGGCGCTACCATTGACCGCAATGTTAAAATAAAACGGGTTTTTTTTTTTAAAACGGTTTTACTTAATATTCTTGGTTCTTTCGGTAAAGTCACGTAGAAGGGAAACAATAACTTGATTCCTCTGTTTGTCTGGGTCAAATCTTGTAATCAAAAAATCGTCCACTTCCCGTTGTCCAATCAATTCCACATTTTGCACACGTACTCAGATCCGGTGATAATGCGTGCATGTATCAAAATCCGCATCAATCGATCAATTAATTCGCTACTTTAAAGCAATTTACATTTTGTATAGGCGCCTTATTATGTATATATATTTGTGTGTAGGTCAAAAACGCCGCGGTCCCTAAACTGTGGAATCGGTTCGCACAAAACTTCTCGACCGTGAGTTAAACTAAGTTGTTAATAAAACCGCGTTGTTTTAAAAAAAAAACTTTTTTAAACGGAGTTTATTTATACCGTATTGTGATGTCGTGGTGGCAGTGATGCACAAGCACCAATAACAAACCAACAAACAAACTCACCACAACCGTCAATAACACCGTGCAAAAAAAGGACCATTACCAGAAACGTCGCCTTAATTATCGAAATGTTTCCTTTTAAAGGGAATGTCGTTGAGTTTTAAACGTTAAAAGTAATACATTCCTCGCTAGAATTTGCTCTCAACGGATTCGCCTGGGGCAAAGAAAAAGGGTGAGGGTTAATCGTTTCACCCCTATGAGCTATACCAACACGTGTCCCAACACGATCGTGTGCTAATTGCATGGGGACGGGGAGTCATGGAGATTTGGCAATTTTATGGGCCACAAATATGCACGAAAAGCATGGTCACTCTGGTAGCTATTTATTGGTGAGGGGGGGGAATGTCATTACAGAATGGTACCGTGGCGAATTAATTGGGAATATTTTGACAATAAAAAATACCCTCGCGTGATCTGAAACATCTTGGAAATGTGAAAAATAATAGCAAGTGTGTCCAGGTATGTAAAACAGATGGTATGCACGCCGAGCTGTGTTTTACCACAGGTGATGATGATGATTAAACTCCCCTTGGCTTATAGGCTAACTGGGCAGGCAATTACGTTGCATTTCAACTTTCAATCATCAAAGAGAAAAAAATACAGGCGCTTCAAATGTTTTAAATATGATTCTAGTTTATCCTTTGAGTCGACACACCGATTGCAGCCTTTATTATCATCGTCACACGCTCGTGAATCAGGCACACAAGGGATACACACGTGGCTTAAGCGTCCCCAAGTGACTACAGCAGTGCAAAAACATCCCTGTCAAACCTATACGGTTTACCCGTATTCTTGCAGGGGGACATTTTCAGGCCCACACTGCGTACATCCGTTTCAATATGAGCATAAAAAATATCAACGTGACAACGTGACTTTACCGAAAAAACTAAGAATATAAATAAGTAATTGCAAAAACCACGACGGTTCCAAACCTACGCAGAATCCATCTTCTCGGTTGAAATTGTCTCTGTGTTTGTATATGTTATTTCACGGTATGCTGAATGTATCGGCCACTAAGTTGGACGACACAAGTCTCGTGAACAAACAGCACTCGGATACAACCGTTTAAACACGCGATCGGATTCATTTTTTTTTCTCTCGAGAATATAACATTCAAGCAAATTCTAATATCCTACTAAATTGTTTCATAACATTTTTTGGTCCGGTCCCTCCCGCGGCATTTGCCCTCCCCCAAGACGTCTGTCCTTGCGTGGAAGAGTAGACCAAAATAGCCTCTCGAGCCTCTAGAGCGGCTCTCCGCAGAACTCCCTTGAGTGGGAGGGCCCTTCCACCAGCAGCGACGTGAGCCAGGCATTGCAGGGCTGCGGCTTTACCCAATTCCAGCCCATGATCAAAGATCACCTGCAATGCGTCAGACCTCATTTAACGACACGGGCTGTCTACCATGGTGAAGTATGGTCAAATTACCCACGGTATGGGGGAGGGAGGGGTAGGGCGTTCATCTGGCAAAGTATTGACTAAAGGGTTGTATGTGTGCAGCACGTCACACATCCGCCCTAATCAATTAACCGCCCAACATCCATTGCAGTACTGATACATTACATGGTGTTATTCATTTATATCGATTGCCACATCGATCATTTCACATAATCGCACGTTGCTCAGTCCCCATTTGCTAACATGCCGTGTTCAGAAGACTTGATGGTTAATCTTGTTACTGCTGTTTAAGCCTTGCACTTGAATCAATCAAACAGCGCCCTTCACAATACCATCGTTACCGAGCGCTTCACGTGTACACATAACGTTGCATTCATAACATTTGAGATACGCAAAATAGTTAAAGGTAGAGACAGTTCAAAATACTGTATGTAAAAGAGATTGTAAAATACATTTTGAGCATGATTGTAAAAAGGCCCGAGTCTTAACGGGCTCTCGTCTGCTTGTAATAACAGGAATGATTTAAGATGCTGTTATTGCTGATGATGATTATTAGGCGCCTGCTGATGCTTCTGATGCAGCTGCTAATGAAGCTGCTGCTCATGATCACAAGATGACGACGTATGAATAGATGATGTTGGACTGATGGATGGATTAATGAATGCATGATGATCCAGGTGCTGCTGATAATTATTTTTTGATGTTGAAAGTTGCTGGTGGTGCTGACGTATGAATGGATGATAATCCATGAATGGATGATTTTGGACTGATGGATGGATGAATGATTGCATGATGATTATTCAGGTGCTGCTGATGATAATGATCTGTTGATGCTGCTGTTGCTGCAAGTTGCCCATGGTGGTGATGACAGATGATGATGACGTTTGAATGGATGATAGTATATGAATGGATGTTGGACTGATGAATGGATGAATTAATGGATGATGATGATCCAGGTGCTGCTGATAATGATCTTTTGACACTGCTGCTGCAAGTTTCCGGTGGTGATGACAGATGATGATGATGACGTATGAATGGATGATGATTATGATGGATGAATTCATATTCGGCAGGTGATGTATACTTGTGACGATAGACAGATACAACAATCGTGTCCACTCACCAAATCCAGGCTGGGCATCACGGATTTGCATCCCCCCAGCTTGAACTTGATGAGGTTAAACACCTCCTCGGGATGTCCCAGGGACCGGAGGATGTCCATGTCTGGTCCGGAGTTGGGTCGCGTTCGACAGGTACCGGCGTTCAGGCAAGACAGTGGGGCCCGCAGATGACAGGGCCTCTTGGACTAGCGGCTAATGCGTCGCGAGCGCGAGGATAATGGTTTAACAAAACGGGGGTGGGGGTGGTGGGAGGCTGCTTTTAAATCGCTGCGAGTAATAATACCCACGGCGTGCTTTGAGAATGGCAGAGTTTGACTTTATTTGATTATTTTTGTTTTAAATCGCCGGGCGTGCGACGCGCCAATGACACGCGGTGGGGGCGGGGCGGGCAGGGGGGGGGCGTGCCCTGACCCAAGCCGCGCCCCCCACGCGCGGCGATCCTCGCCCCCTCATTGGTCCCCGGGCCTCGTCCGAGTGACGTAGCCCCAGTGGCGCGATCACGTAATCTTCGGTCACCCGTTTTGATTTCGCAATACCGATAAGGGGAGGGAGGGGGGGGAAGCGACGCGCCGCGTTGATTGGCTCAGCGCGGTGAGATTCCGCGCGCTGATTGGTCCTCGTTCGCCCGGGATTCTGTCGCATTGTTTATGTGCGCTATGGAATTAAAAACTCATAGCGTTGTCCACTCGTACGGGTGCTGAAATGATGGGGGCATTGCCCGAAACGTCGTCTTTTTATGTTTGAGTTTTTTTGTTAAGCTGCGTTTTGAGCACCACTGCCAACGCAGTAGCAGCATCACCTAACACAATATTACTTGACTGAAACACTACCGTATATTATTATTACACATCTGCCATTATAATACATTCTTATACATTACATTATATTGCACATCTACCGTAAACTTATTTATACACAAACCCTATGTACAAGGACCTTCTAATTTACTCCCACTTACACAGACACACCACCCCTTCAGATTAACATGTAGGAGGCTTTCGCGACAAGTATTTTTCATAGGTGTTTTTGGGGGGTGAGATCGCGTACATATCAATGCTGTGTCGTTAAACCCTCCACGACCCGACACAGCCAATTAGTAAGGTTTGTCACGTAAAACAAAACGTGCCAATTCGTTACTAGCATAGCACGCCGGTGTGTTGGAGAGTTTGAGAGATTTGTTGCACACAGCGTTGGTGTACGGTGCTTTTTTCAGGAATATTTTGCTGTTTTTTCATGGATTTTCTGTTTGCACAGTCACATAGTCACTTTAAGATGTTTTCTTGTTCGTGTTTTTTTTTGTTTGTTGTGGTTGCACCCAATTCAAGAGCCGAATGGCTCACAAGGCTATACCAAAATAAATAAACTGAAAATGAAACTGAAAGTGCAGAACATTTACAATTCGAGTACGACGTTTCGCCATTAATTACAACTAGCATCATCAGGAGCATCCTCAGGCAACAGCCAAATTTGTGGAGAAATTATGTTTCATTCATGAATACCCCTTCAATCTAAATAAAGACCGTAATCCGTAATGTATGTCTCAAAAAACTCCAGGTACTTCTCGACGAGGTAGACAGCTGACATTTGGTACACAGATTTTGGGACACAACAGGGAAAATATGAGTATCCCAGATTTGTCATTATAAGGCCCCCAAATATCGATTTAAGTGCCCCAGAAACACGTTTGTGCCTCGTGTCGTTCAGTAACCGTTCAAAATGTAAGATTGTGGGTTTTTTCCCTTTGACCGAGCGTTAAACAGCAAATAAAATTACAGCGAGAACCACTGTTCTATATTTTGTTTTGAGATATTTAGGATTCAAGCGGATTTTAACAAAAAAAATACGCATTTTATGATGTTCAAATCTGATTAATTCAAAAACGGTAAAAGATAGGAGCTTCCCCTCAGAGTATTACGATTATTATTTTTTTGTTCTTTCTAATAAAAAAAGAACAGAATCTTTCAATCGAGTGGTTTCCTATGGGTACGTCTTTAAATATAAGAAGTTGAATAAACTCAACTATTTTTGTGTTTTTTTGCGGAAAATTGAAATGTTTGGCATAGTTATGATTTTTTTAAAATAAAAAAAATATTTTACAAAAAAATCATAGGTTAATTCATTATTATATATTTTTTGAAAAGTTTGCTTGGCGAAGACAGGCTTTATGAACTAGTCAAATATAAATTGATCAACGATCCCAATGCAGAACCCTTATTGTAATTAGTAGGGACTCAGGCTTCCCTGATAACTAAATATGCAACAGTTACATCACTGTGTATGCAATTGCTGTACTGCCAGTGACAAAATAAAATGCTGTCCAAAGTGGAAATTCTTAACAAAAAAGTTTGAGCAAATCATATTGTGCAGGCGTCTTCACAGATTTGTCTTGGTGTGACAACATTTGCACCGTGGTAACATCTGCCCAAAAACTAAATAGCTTTTTTTGTAATAAAGGATGAAAAAGATGCATAAGCAAACAAACACGGCTTAGAAAAAAAACACGTTTATTTCTCTTAAAACCCACGGGAACATTGTGTTTGATAAACCATCCCATCCGGAAACTCAGAATAATACACGAATCACAATATTGTAATAATTTAAGCGTAACCCCCCTAGGGCCTAGGCACTTGGATGCCGTGCACAGTGGTACGGGTGTTATCATTGGGTCATGATTGTCAACTGTGCTACTCGGCGCAGTGTCGGTGCAGACCCGCACCGACTCTAAAAAAAACTGCCATGAGCCAACTTGAATGGGCTCATATCACCGGAATCTTGCTCCCCAATTCACAGCGTACACCTACACACATAAATGCATATTAACGTTTAACGTTTAAATCTAGATTTGAAGTTTTCGTGACTGCAAGGCACGTAGTAGGTAGAATAAATAAGTAAATAAAATCACGACGTTTCGGGCGCAACAACCACAGCAGTGACGGGTGCTTGTGTTGCGCCCGAAACGTCGTGATTTAATTTATTTTTTCACCTACGTGACTTTACCGAAAGAACCAAGAGTATGTTTAACGTTTAAACCAGCGGTTCTCAACACCGTGTGTCAGCCTCCCACCTCCTGGAATCCTTTAAGGGGAGAGTGCAGGTTAGGGCATGGTCACCGTGCAGGAGACTTTGTTTTTGAACAATGCATGGGGATAACGTCAGCGCGACGATGCAACAGAACGCACGGATATATAAATGAAACAAATTCCTTACTAACACGGCAATGAGTGAACACATGGACATGTGTTCTCTCTCGTTTGCGGTCTTATTAACGAGGGAGGGAGGTGTGGAGATCCAGTGGTTTTGATTCGGAGGGAGGGGGGTATTCCGTAAATGTTGATAACCACTAGTTTAAATTATAAAATCACGGAGGCTCTGCTTGATGGCATATCACTTGCTCGAAACCGTATCTCAGAATCACACGACCCAGCATGGTGAAGCATAACAGTATTACATTCCTGGGTTGAGGAGGGATACGTAGCTCACTTGCTTGGCAACACATGTGCCAGAGATAGTCCGAACGTAGCTGATCGGGCGATGCGGATAAAACCCCGAACTCAACACATTCATCAATAAAACTGCCCTCAAAAGACATACAATATATAATAATTAATATTACGGGCAATGGCCATTTGTTAAAACGTATAATAAGGGCCATTGCACGATAAGATTAATGTATTGAGTTTTTTTTTCTTATGCAGCACTGCCAATGCAGTATCACAAAAAAAAAACATTGGTTAAAGATAAAACTCTGGAAATTCCATTTTAAAAAAGGGCCACGTGTGATCTCATCCGCCTGTGCTTTAAAAAAGAAAACACACCAACATCGGTGAGCGAGCCGTGAGGCCATCATTTACGCAACTTCAAGGAATGTCCAGGCATATGCCGCATAGCTGTGGTGTAACGGTTGGCACACTGATCTCGCAATACAGGGGTCGGCGGTTCGTTTTGATCTCCCAGCGCTGCAGTTGACGCAATGGAGATTTCTTGAACTCCTGCGCCTCTGTCTACCCAGCAGTATAGACTGACACTACCACGGTTAGTCGATCGGTAGGTCGTATGTGGTGGGGTAAAGCGTGGGTACTCCCACCTCTTCCAAGATGCCTGGCCAGAATGGAAGAGTAGGCCAAATCCCCCCCCCCCCCCCCCCACAGGGAATCTCTAGAGCTGCCTCTGGTGCAGATCCTTCTGCCAACATTGGCGTAGCAATACATTGCTGGGCTGTACCTTTACCTTATTATACTGCATGAACATAAATCCTTCAATAATTTTATCGTAAATTGTCAGATATTTTAAAATCACAAGTCAAAAAACAACTCGCTACTTTTTTCGTTTAAACTGCCTTATAATATACAAAAATATACCTTTGGCAATTATTCAGAGCAACCACTCTGAGCACAACGTTACAATTTAATTTCACGTTCGATTTCCTGAACCCAATTGATTGCAACCGTGCTGCATGGATCACGTCGCGAGATGAAGAATCCATTCAGACATCTTGCAGAATGGTGTTTGCCCACTGTGTTTTAGAGTAATGGCTGGGGTTGAAATGTCTCGGCAGGACATGAAACATTCTTCAATTGGCCTGTTTTCCTCTACAGAGTATGGGGGCACATTTTACCATACACCCTGCCACGAGTTTGCAACAAGATAATTGGATCGATAACTTGAATTCTCAGAGATCGATTTTGGCCAAATAAAGCGAACGAGAAGAACGTGATGTATTTATATACTGGAGAAATACAATGGGCTATAAAGCTCACAGATGTCCAGTAGGTGAGCCTCGAATTCATGTGATCGACCAACTCGCCACACTTGAGAAGCTGGTTTCATTATGGGCATGGATCAGCTCGAAATGTGCCATTCATCTGATCCATATGTTCCTTGCTAACTCAGCTCGGATGTTCCAGTAGAAAAGGGGTAAAATGAGAGGAGAGTGGGTTTCTGAATTTTTTTTTCAACATGTGGCGTATGGTGTATCCCTTTACAGTTGCGGCTGGGTGACGATGCTGGGTCAGTGCTCCTTACATCAACATCCAGCATAGCGTTCCCTGCACGTGCTTACACGATCATTGTATCTGTACAACCCAGAATTTTCATTGCAATTCACATTCGTATTGGTTTATTCATTCACGTGAATGTTTCTTTGCATAAGTTTCTTGAGCATCAACAGCCAAACTAATGGTTTGGCACGAGGATAAAATAGATTTTAACTTAATTTTCGTTCGTATCTGACAATTTCTTTTATTTATTTTCAGTATTTTCTGTTACAAAGGAAAACGTACCTTCTTAAACGAATTATATTTTACATCTTACATTTCGGAACTAACCGTTCTCTATTATTTCTTTAAATACATATTTATATCGGATTTTATTTTATTTTTAAACGACAGCAAAAAAAGATATTCTTAGAGCAACAGCGCTACCGGGAGACGTCATTGCTGTTTAGACGGCATTGCTAGGAAACAGCGTTGCTAGGCGATGGCGTTGCTAGGCGACGGCGTAGCTAGATGACGGCGTTGCTAGGAGACGGCGGATGGGCCGGAGCCTTGCGGAGATCCCCCCAGTCCGTGGCCTCCCGCGTTCATCCCGTACAGCGAATGAGCCCCGGCCTGCGCCTCCATGCTGCCATTGCTCTGCAGGAGACAACGATAGACGCCGTGAGTGGCCGGGCAGCTGAAGAATATCAGACGTGGTGGTCCAGTGCTTTGGAGGCGAGGGTCGGCGGATCATGCAAAGATTTGTTAAACTCCCACCGGGCCGCAAAGTGGTGCTCCAGTTTCCTTCCATTGAGCTATACAGCTCTTTTTCAGAAGCGACCTGGCCACAAATGATAACCCAATGAAGTGGTTTATCACGTGGGAAATTATATCACCCAAATGCTCCAAACGCTTGTTTCTAGAATGTGGACGGAAAAACTGGGGGACCCGGAGAAAAATCCACTCAACCACAGGGAGGACGTGCAAACTCCAAATATACAGGCATCAGGGTCAGAATCGAACCCACGACCTCCTGTATACCAGGCGGCATGGTTAAGATATCGCCACCGTGGCATCCCATACACTCATTAATGCGAATGGACAAACAACCAAATTCAGGATCTTGCAAATTACCAAAAAGAACCAAAGAAAATGACCAAAAGAACCAAAGAACAGGGAGAAAGCATTTTAGCGGTGTTGTACACAAACTCAACACAGATGCGTTGTTTAGTTACACGTGGTGACACACACGGCACGGAGTTCAACTCATGTGCGCTGCGAGCGGCGCTGCAGCGGGCGTTGAGACGAGTGGCCGGCGCCGCGTCCCCGCGGTGCGAGCGCTCCGTACCGGGCACTGTGCCCCCCACTCCGCCGTCTGTGTGACGCTACCGCACAGTTACCCACGTCGCCATCGCCCCTTTCGATATTCTTGTCGTTGTTGTTGCTTTTCAAAGTGATCCTAAAGTTTGGAGGGGGGTGGGGAGGGGGCTCGTCTTACTTTCAAACGCGTCCTTTTAATCCAGAGAATACGGAATGGCTAAACTAAATGAATAAAGCGGCTCTTTTAATCCGGAGAATACAGCGTGGATAAAATAAATAACGTGCCCCCCCCCCCCCCCCGAAATCAGTGTTCTTCACTCATTTTCGGAGGGGAGCCTTGATGAAAAGCACTATATAAATGTAATTATTATTATTATTACTACTGCCGATATGACACCAATGTGACGAGCACCACACATTTGAAACCTTCGGGGGTTTGTCAGCAGCACGATGACGATGATGATGATGATGATGGGTGTTTTCACCATTTGCGTATTGTCGCGGGCCGCACGTCAGGGGCCGCGCTAAAGGCCATCAGGGGCCGCCAATGGCCCGCGGGCCTTGCAGTGAAGAACACCGGGCCTAAACGGACACTGTGAGGTGGGAGGGTGGTGCGGGGAGGATGTAAGGGGTGGCGCGCGCCGCCTCTTGCCTGCTGGGGGCTGCTGGTGCTGTGCGATGAGCGGATGAGCAGAGGCTCGGGCGGCAGGCGGAGGCCCGAGAGCGCAAGCTGTAGCGGAGCGCCGAGCAGGTGGTGCGCCTGAAACGGGAGCGCAGACCGCGGCGACGCCGCCGGCACCGCGTAAGTGGCGCAACGGGCCGGCGCGCCGAGTTCCACTCTGCCGCGGGGAGGAGCCGGCTGGCGCTCGCTCGGCGGTTGTGTCCAGGAATCTCACTAAGGTTGCCAAGTTTATAGTGCGGTACTTGAACCACTGCACCACACTCCATTCCTTAACTCTCGCGCGGGACCAGCCATGCTAATTATTTTGGATTCAATGATATAAAATGTTCACGATAAGATACATTTCAACATTTTCACAATATACCAATTATCCTGATGCGAGTCAATTTCTGGTTTCCCCAAAACTCTGTGATTGAATTTAGCATTTTCCTCGTTTAGTTTTTGTGTTTTACTGTACTTCTGTTGTGAATGAAGATTGCCTTTTCAACTGCAGTTTATTCAACCTAAGTCATTACAACCTATAGATCTCATGACACCATGCTGTAAGTTACACAAGCAATAGTTACGTAATCAGCCACATAGGCATTTAATTATTATCTCGTGTGAGAGCGACCTCGTCCCAGGCTCGGAGCGCAGCACGAACCACATCGTTCCGGTGCCTGTATAGGCTGCGCATCTCATTGGGCTCTGATCGCAGTACACTCTGTTCTCTTGTAGTGCGGTAGGCGTTGCATTCCTGAAGAACACCGCATTATGTAAAAATCGCGTTATAATAAATAATAATAGAAAAGGGTGAAGCACAGTCTGCGATAACGCGCGAGATGCGTACGCAGCCTGGTCAAAGACCGAGACGCATGGGTACCATCTAGCAGTATCCAGCAGCATCCCGATGTCCTGTGCGACGATGATGCTGTGCCGAGGCAGCCGTACGGCCGCTTATTCCTACTCGCGCTGCGACGTAGTTCCGTTCACTCAGTGGCGTTATATCCAATCCGCATCGGCGTTGTCAAAAATGTGCTCCCTGATACATTCATCGCGTTATATGTCCAATTCGCGACGCGGCGCTATAGGAGAACGGAATGTATCGCCGAACCATACAGCAGCCCCCGGTACGAACGCCCGCGCGGCCGCCGTGCGCCGAACCTGCGTGCCGTGCTGCAGGCCGTAGAGCGGGGGGCTCAGCCTCGGCTCCGACTTCACGGAGCTCAGATCTTCGGGTGGGGGGGGAGGCTGGATGCACGGGCCTGGGGTGGAGCAGTGGTCGGAGTGGCCCACCCCTGCAGACGCACGCGCGCACACACGACAATAAACCGAGACCGAATAGTGTGAATAATGCGCCGCTGACGCCTCGCGCGCAAGCGAACGAGCCGAGTCGCGCGCAGACGACGCCGTGACGCCGTGTCTCCACAAGCGCACTGACTGACGTCACAGTCGGTCATGACGACGATGATGATGATGATGATGAAGATGACGAGGTGGGCACTAACCCGAAGTAGATTTGCTCTTGCAAGCTCCCTTGGGCTTGCGCTTGCGCGTCTGGATGCCGTCCTTCTTCATGGCGAGGGGCCGCGGCACCTGTGGACGTGATCAGCCTCAGTGAGCGTGGTCTCCCGAGCCTCCGTGGCCCAGGGGTAGCCAAACTGCTCAACGCTCCCTGCACCGGAGCCGTAGCGAAACACTCCGGTACCCAGGGCAGGCTGTGTGTGCATGTATGTTGAACTTCTTTCGCCCCGTACGTAGCCAGCCGCGCTAATCGGAGCCAAACTCGGTCCGCTCGGCGATTTGTAGAGACGTGTTTTCATTCGTCGCGCTACAGCGTTTGGGAAATGTCGTTTGTCGCTACGATCCCGAATGCGCCATTTAAGTTCCCTGTTGCGAAATTGCTCGACTCAGATGTGAACCGAGCAGTTGCCGGTGATTAAGCTGCGCGATTTCGACAGCGATGATTTGGTCGTGCGGCCGATCGCTCGGGCGTGGCTCTGGCTTAGGGGCACAGCCAAACCTGTGCACTGCGATTCACACCGATAAGAGTAAACACATTATTATTCGGTGGTGTTGCTGCTGCTGCGTTGGCAATGGTGCACCAGCAAAACATTATCAAGAACTCAAAGCAATTCTCTTTTGTGCTATGATGAAGGGTCATTGCCTGGGACGTTTCCTATTATTTACTTTTTCTATTACGCCAGTGTTATTGACTAATGTGTTGGGCTACCAATAAGGCCATCACTGTGTTCACTCTACCTGCAGTGAGCCCTGCAAGCGTCACTACGGCCAGAGCGTGCTCCCACAATGCAGGGGAATGTCTCCCTCAAATCCCAGCCTGACCCTGCAGTATTCAATTACACAGGGAGAAGAGCCCTCAATAAGAGCCACGTCCCTAAGGCCTCCGGAGGTTCGTATAGCCAACGGGACCACGTCACCCCCATCCCTCCCCTCCACCCCATCCCCCACCTCGCCCCTCCCCCACCCCTGCACTCAGGCAACCCTTGCCTGATGATGTGCTGGGTGTGCCGGTGGAAGTTCAGCCGCAATATACATTTTCATGTCACGATAGGACATGCAACTTCCAACAAGGTGGCTATATACAGACGATGCAAAAAGGCATTGCAAACGATAGTCGTATGTAAAAAACAAATTAACATTACAAAGTGGTGATGTAAAATTAGACAAATATGAAAGATGCATGACAAAGAGGACAGATGCTTTCTGCACAGGAGGTGATGGAAAAGTCCACGGTCTCAATTTTGGGTGGAGCTGCACCGAAATCTGAGCGTTCGGTAAAAGGTTTCACAAATTTGACAGCCATAGATTAATTCTGTTGAACAAAAAAAATGTGTGCTGTAACCAGGGATTACATTTTTTGCTCGAAATATCCTGGAAAACTGATAAGCTGGTTTGGCCTAGGGATGGTCGGCCTAAGGCACGACCACCAGAGCACAAAGTACGCTTATCCGTAATGATCATACATCATTGTGCCCTCTATTACTATAATCCCATGTACAGTTCATAAAAAACAAGGACAAAATAAAGGCAAGATGGATGTGGTGTGGTTCTAATTATTTACTTTGAACGGTGTTCCGGACAGTTCCGGCTGAAATTAAGCGCTGGATATTATTATCATTTTTTTTTTAAAGATCTTAAAAAAATATATATCTGAACAGTAATCCAGAGAAATCTGGAGAGATACAATACCACACTTGGCCCCTGGTGTCTTCCATGTGTGTCGACAGTTAAACAAATTTTTCTGGGAAAGTGATGACATATGGTGACGCTGGAGCCATGAGTTGAGCAAGAGGTTTAACAAGTTGAGACAGAGAGCCCCGTGTGGGGATGAAAGCATTGAGATAGCGATTATGGACCATGTGGATGATCAAGGTTTTTAGATTGCGTAAATGTAAATTAATGCTGTGTCGTTAAACTCGCTGACACAGACAGAGCCAGTTTGTAAGTTTTGCACGTAAACAGAACGTGCCAAATCGTTACTAGTACAGCACACCAGTGTGCTGGAGACCAAACCCACAACATTTACAATCTGAGTACGACGTTTCGCCAATAATTATAACTAGCTTCCTCAGGCGACAGCCAGATTTGTGGAGAAATCCTCTTGTTTCGTTCCTTAAATAGAGGGGTGGGTGTGATGACGTCACGTATGAGCCTCCACGTGCGAAGTGGGGGCTCATGATCTAACCATCATGATCGAACCATCATGATCTAACCATCGTGATCTAACCATCGTGGTCTCACCATCCTGATCTCACCATCATCTCACCATCATGATCGAACCATGCACATTATGCATGCACATTGTTCTTGTACCTCTTGTCGTTTGCGTGCAGTAAAATAGCAGCACCTGTTATTGTCTAGTGACCTGTATAGGCATGCATTTAACGACACGCGATATAACCCAACAAAAAATATTATGGATGATATTGGTCGCGAAAGCCTACATGTTCAAATGGACCGAGTGCATGGCATTACAAGGAGACCATAGAGACACAAGGCCCAGTCTTTTCCATTGGAAGCTGCCGAACAAATGTCTAGAGGTCTAGACTTAATGTTGAACCTCGTCACCATTAGCAACGCACAGATCCGATAGCGGGATGCCGTTGATGTTATATTTAATACCCTGCAAATGGTGCGGGAAGACGAAGGTGGGTAATGAGTTACAGAGTCAATCAGCAAGAGGTGTTAAGGGTGAGATAAAGCACAGACGCACACCACACATGGGCACACAGACACGCGGACAGGCAGACACACGGACGCATTGTTACACACGGACACACAAGACACGGGCAAGCAGACACACAGACACATGCACATGCAGACATATATAGGGACATGGGCACACAGACACGCGGACGTACAGACACACAGTAAGCACACGTACAAACGCGCAACTCTCATAACCTAGATTTATCACGAGCGCGCAGAAGACGCGTGCACACGTGTGCATGCACGTGGGTGCGAAGCCCGCTCACCCCGTGCAGCTTGGTGTAAAGGCCACACGCGTTGCACACCGGCTCGCCCTCGGCATTGCGTCGCCACAGCGTCGTGGTGCTCGTCTGGCAGTTGGAGCAGGAGAGGCCGACGCGGCGAGAGCCGGACTGCACACGCGCGCGGTGGAACACGCAGACGCATGTGAATACATGCACGCATGAATGTGACATACAGACGCATGACAAGAGGACACATGATTATGAAACAAAGACACACGACTGCCTGGATATATAGACGCATGACACGCAGACGCATAAATACGCGGACACACAAACACGTGACGCAAGACACATTAATGTGATACACAGACGCATTGATGCATGGATACACAGATGAATGACACAAAGACACATGTATATGCCACACAGACGCATGAATATATGGACACGCAGACATAACACACAGACACATGAATGTGACACACAGACACATGAATATGGCACACAGACACACGAATACATGACACGCAGACACATGAATGTATGGACACAGACACACGGGCACATAGGTACACAAGACACCATGGCACCTTGGCACATGGGCATTTTCACAATTGGGCATATGGCCACGTGGGCACATTCCATCCATGTATGTATGTTTCATGTAAAGTCATTTGTGTATGCATATGGCATTTGCCGTGTATAACTTATTGAACGTCGTGCACCGGGTTGTCACATCATGCATTCCAGGTGCGGGGAGCGGTGGTGCAGCGGTTAGCGCACTGCACCACGACCCCGAGAATCTGGGCACGATTCCCGGCCATGGATAAAATCGGTGTAAATTGGCATCTGTCCTGGACTCCTGGACCTCCCCGAGGTCGACTCAGCCTTAAATGAGCAAACATCGGCACGTGGGACACGAAGGGGGCCGGGCGTGGCGCTCGCCACATCGCCGTCTCGCAGAGCGCCGGCCGCCTCAATAGGTGCTCGCTTAACTCACCATGCGCCGCTGGGGCTTAATGAGTGGCCGGTTGATTCCGTTCATCTTGTTGTAGAGGCCACACGCGTTGCACAGGTAGTGGCCCGTACCATCTCGCCGCCACAGAGGGGTGGACATGGCGCCACAGTTCACGCACTCCCGCCCCTCCATGGACTCGTCCAACATGTCTGTGTGCCCAGGAAAAGGGGGAGGGAGGGGGGGTTAGTGTTTGGGGATAAGTTTCAGTTTCATTTATTTGGTATAGCCCTGTGAGCCATTCGGCTCTTGAATCGGGTGCAACCGCAACAAACCAAAAAAATAACAAGAAAACATCTTAAAGTGACTATGCGCAAACAGAAAAATCCAGGAACAAACAGCAAAAAAATGCATGCACTGTGTGTTGAACTTCTTTCGCGCCGTACGTAGCCAACCGTGCTAGTCGGAGGTGCGGCGGACGGAGAAACAAACTAAAACGCAAAAAAGCAGTTATAAAGAAATGAGATTTCAACCGAGATTATCTCAAAGTGCACAGCCTTCAGTGTCTTCTTAATATCAGAAGGAGCCTTACAGACGGCCGCAGAAAACGCATCTGAAAGCGCGCGATGCAGTGACCGTATTTGTTCGATGGCATTGTCAAAAGCCGCTGCGAGGATGACCGGTGGTTCGCGTGATGGTTTATCCCCCTTGACGGCATTCGTCGATTCATCATGCTCGTGATAAAGAGGTAAAGGCGCGGCCCTGCAACTGCTTTCTCACGCCACTGCCGGCGGAAGGGCCTCCCTGCTGCAGTGAGAACCCAAGAGAGCCCCTCTAGAAGGTAATTTGCTCTCCTCTTCCACCCTGACTAAACTTTTTGGAAGAGATGGGAGTTCCCCCCCCACCACACTTTACTCCATCACACATGGCATGCCCAGAGGGTGGTTTGCAATCAAGAAAGTTGCCCACAGTGTTGCCCCCCTTCCGCACGCGTGGGTCTTTCTCCGAGCGCTCCGGTTTCCTCCCTCGTGTGCAAACACTCGCTCATCGGCCGAAAACATCTTAACACGTGTAGGGATGCAGAGCTTGGGTAATTGTTGTCGCGCTGGGAGTCCAAACTGGCGAACCCCTCCACTGCTGTCGGTGTGTTTGTGTTGTTGTTTGTTGTTGTAACGTTCTTACCCGCGCCGCTGCTGGACCGCTGTGGTTAAAAGAGAGCTTAATAGCTCATCGGATTCCCCCAGTATAAATAAATACTCTGATTTCTAACCAAGGTTCAGTCGGCTTCCCCTTAGGCGTGTAGTTCCCAAACGTCCCACGAGAGGGCGGTGTGGGCAGGCCGAACGAGACTTCTGCACGAATGTGACACTCAAAAGCGCTATCCGTCAACAAGCTTCAAGAGTTCTACACTCCTCGGCCCATCGTGATTTGAGAATCTATACGAGCACGTATAGGGGATATCAATTGTGGCGACTGTGGCACTGAGGGTCGCGCATAAGAACTCCGCTCATCTTCTACCCTATAATCCGCGACCCTTATTATCCGCGGGGGCTGTAGGTTTCATGAATACTTATCCCATTATCCGCGCCCCATATTCTTCCTATAATCCGCGATAATCCGTGGTTCTCCGCGGTCCTTTCTGTCCTGCCTTGTGGAACGGCGTCCTATTATCCGTATTCTTTTCATGACTCAGATAGTGCGATAGCCACTACACTACTGCATAGATACACATGCACGCATAGATATACACTCATGCATATATACAGAGATGGTGGTTATTATAGATACGACTGCATCCATACATAGGTACGCAAAGACAAAGATCTCCCTATATCCTCAACAGACTGTTGGGGCAAGTGCTGTTAGCGAACACCTATGAAGGCCGGCACGGCACACGAGGGGGGTGGGTGGCCAGCACCACGCCCGGCTGCCTTTGTCTCTCCTAGTGGCGATGATCACACAATGCACCAGGTACTTATTTGAGGCTGAGTCGACCTAGAGGAGGCCCAGAACCGGTTCAGATAATCGTCACTGGCGTTGGCCGTGAGCGGGACTCAAACCCGGGTGGCCGAATTCATAGCGCAGTGCACTAACCGCTTCAACCACTGCTTCCCAAATACATAGACAAAGACAAATATCTCTCTATAACCTTTGACAGACTGTTGGGGCAAGTGCTCTTAGCGAGCACATATGAAGGCCGGATTTGAAGGCCGGAACGGTACACGAGGGGGTGGGTGGCATCCATACATAGATACACATGCATACAGACACGTGCATATAGTGCAGCACGCGTTATTAGCAACTCGTCCCGCTGTTGGAATGCGTTGCCCGCAGGAGTAAACAATAAGCCAGGCTTGCCCAATCGATTACACTGTGTAACAAAAAAAATGTGGTTCCTGGGTAGTAAGCGTTATTTCCTAATTGCTTATGCCTCAAAAGTACAGAAAATGTCAATTATTCCCCAAAACTTTGCTTTTGTGACCAGGACAATGATATTTTTTTAAATTTACCTATTTTCCAGAACATTCCAGATAGATTTAGTGCTGAGTAAACTTGGAGTAAACTTCTAGAACATTCTAGAACTTTACAGTAATATAAATAGTAGTATAAATACAGGGGCCTTAAGCCCACCATTTCAGTTTAGTTCCAGCTACCTAAGTGGATACATATCTGCATTTTTCTGAGATGGCGTCAAGAGGCTGCAAGCATCCAGCAGACGCATTTTTCTATGTCTGCCGGCAATTTATCAAGACAAGAGCGAAAAAAGTACTCTGTGGAAGTATCTGCTAAGATGTGCGAGGCCTACAAGGCATATTTCGGCATGCCTGTCGGGGATTAAGACAAACCCTGGGCACCTCATTTCACCTGCGAGCAATGGACAATTAAATTTCGATTTAAAGCTTTCGTGACTGCAGGGATTAATCTTCTTGGTTCTATCGGTAAAGTCACGTAGAATGGAAATAAAATAATAAAAATAAAACATAATAAAATAAAATTCTCACAACGTTTCGGCCACAACACAATAGCCTTCTTCAGGTGAAGGAACAGAACTGTCGGGACGACAGCGCTTCAATGAACACTGCTAAGCTTGGCAGCGTCTTTTAAGCTGGGTGGGAGGAGCAGAGCGCCTTGACAAAGGAGTTTACATATCAACAGAAGAATTTAGCATTGAAGTAGCTGTGTTAATGTGTTGGATTAACAGGGTGTTAAAGTCAGAAATTAGCATGTGACTGGGAGATTAGCATGATGTTAGTGTGAGGGATTAGCATGTAACTGGTCACGGAAGTAGCTATGTTAAAGTTAGAGTTTACATATCAAGAGGCATTTAGTATATTGACGCTAAAGAACTGCAACTATCCAACTATCATACAATAAGCCGATGTGAAAGAACTAAGTATAAACTACATCAATATAATAAATGTACTCAATATATTCTTCAATAAGTTGAGCTATTAACATAAAGTAACTGGGTATGCACTACACTATATAATGAATACCATATAGTAAACTGATAAAAAACTAAAATATAAACTACATCTATGTTATCAAAAAACTCAATATGCTCTCCAATCAGCTGAGCTACTAACAATAAGTCGTTATACATTACAATTCTATGTCGAAAAAAGTGGCGGTTTCTTTTTTTCTTTTCAACGTTAGCACCACGGAAAGCGACGAGCTTTGTTCAGACGGACGAGTCCATCTATGCTCGGAACGGACGAGTCCATCTATGTTCAGGCGGACGAGTCCATCTATGCTCGGAACGGACGAGTCCATCTATAGTAATAGGTTTTACCCTTTTAACTGGCACAAAAACTGACACCTTTATTCAAGGCATCATGTTTGCAATAACCACAACACAAGCAGTCAAAATGCAAACAAAAGAGACAACTCTGATAATAATATGCACTGTATATTGTGCCAGTTAAAAGGATAAAACCTATTACTATATCTTGTTACTGGCAAAGGAGGTCTCATAATGTAAGAGTCCATCTATGTTCAGACGGACGAGTCCATCTATGCTCAGAACGGAGGAGGGGGAAGAGAGAGAAAGAGCCACGATGGGCTGCTCTGTCCTGTGTTGCGTTACAACTATGCTATTTTATTGTTTATTTTTATTATTTTATTTACATTCTACGTGACTTTACCGAAAGAACCAATGGGCAATTGTTGCTCGGAATTTTACGTAATAAATTTTGTTTTAAAAATTTCAATTGTAAAAGTTTTTTTTATTTAAAAATGTTTTACAATTTTCAATGTTATTGAAAAATATGTCATATATGAATAATGTTGCGAGAATCTCTTACACGTTAGTCATGGGTGAAATAAATGTATTTTTGTAGGATGGTACAGAGGGGAAAAGAGAGCCATGAAGTTTGTGATCCCAAAACGTTGGCGGGAACCCACTGACCACTCAAGCAACTGCTACTTCTGCATGATGGACCCTTACAAACGTCGGACTGGTAAGAATGCACCTGCTATCACGTATCCAGACCTTCCTTCATCCATCGCCCAGGTGCCACACTGCCATGAGCTCCCCGTACCCACTCCTCCGAAGAGAGAGCAGCCGTCTTTAGAAGAGAGCAGCAAGTCAGAGAGCGAGGAAGACGTTGCGGATCCAGATGACAATTTCAGAGGTGGAGCTGAGGAGAGAAACCCATACAACCCCAACCAAAGAGACCTCAACGACTTGATCAGAGATCTTGGTCTCACCAAGTCCAATGCTGAGCTTTTGACGTCTAGGCTCAAGCACTGGAACTTGTTTGATAAAAGTGTGCAAGTTGCAGATCAGAGGAAGCATCACCAACCTTTTTGCAGCTCTGCTTCTGCCACAATGTGACCAGTCTGTTCGAGACAATCAGAATTGCCTGTAACCAGAATGAGTGGCGCCTCTTCATTGACAGCTCATCCAGGAGCCTCAAAACCGTGCTGCTCCATAATGGTAATAAGTACCCGTCTCTTCCCCTGGCTCACTCGGTGCACCTCAAGAGGATTACAACAGCATCAAGACCTTGCTGGACACCTTGAAGTATGATGAGTACAGCTGGGAGGTCATCGGAGACTTCAAAATGGTGGCATTCCTGATGGGTCTCCAAGGCGGTTTTACCAAGTTTCCCTGCTATCTTTGCCTTTGGGACAGCAGGGACACCAAGGCGCACTGCAACAGGCGGGACTGACCACAGCGGACCGAGTTCTCTGTGGGGAGGAACAACGT